TTATCCATTAAAATTACTTAACAATTTATTGTAAATGAATTACTTAACTTATTTATATACATATATATATATACTATAATATATTATTATATATATTTATATTAATATTATATATTATTACTTATATATAATAAGATAATATATAAATATATTTAAAATACACAATAATATTAATAAAATTATTTATATTATTTTAAATATTTTTAAAATGAAAAGATACAAGAAGTAAATTTTCAAAAATAATTCTTCTTAAAATATAATATCAGTACAATTGAAACATATCTTTTATTTGTTACCTTTATCTTATAAAATAATAACAACAATATATGATGTAAAGGTACTTATTATCTCTAGAATGATGAAACGAAAAGTACGTTTTGTATGAGGTCTTATGTTGGTAGCAGGTCAATGGCAAGAATAACCGGAGGCAATCTCCCAAAAAGGAGTCTAATGCTCAACCCACTTCCCTTATGATCAAAGAACAATGGTGGAAAGGTGCGGTGAGAGACTTGCAGAGATACGAACCGGGCTTTACATTCATACAATTCGTGGGTTAATCCAGTTAGAAACAATTAGCTGATGTAACTCGTTCTACTACGTCTATATGTCTGCCACCCTAGCCTGTTCCTATTCCTGCTCCTGCTCCTGCTCCTGCTCCTGCTGATGCTGATGCTGGTGCTGGTACTGGTGCTAGTGATGGTGCTGGTGATGGTGCTGGTGCTAGTGCAGTTAGTGCTGCTGCTAATAGTAGTGCTGTCGCTAGTACTGTTAGAAACTGCAATGCGGGCAAGCCAGGTTCCTACCCAGACTATTTCGAAATTGCAACAAAACAATATTTGTATGGCAATGGATCCATTCGCGAACGACTGACACGATACGCCAAATTGAACAATGTACTACATATGCTCTATATATATATATTTCTGTATCTATATACTATGCGAGTGGTAAACGTATTTCAGGAATATAACAATGAAAGGATGAAAAGGATGAAATTGTTGGAACGAAAATTAAGCTAGTATTGAATTTTAAAAGAATAATAACTATTCATATACGTTCTGTACCAATAATCAAAGGGTTCAAGTGAATAATTTGAATAATTAACATTTTAATAACATAATAGGATAATTTTCTAATCCAACGATGCATTCGTTCGACAGCTAATAGAACGATCAAATTGATAATGTTGATAATGAAATTTGACGAGAAATTTATAAATATTATAAACGATGATTAATAAGAAAAGGATAACATTCATTTAGTTTAATTTTGATTGATTTTTTTTATTGTTAAATATTGTTTAATACTTGACGAGTATACTTGTGTTAATGCCTGTATAAATTTTATACAATTATTAAATATTATGTTAGTCGTTATTATAAGAATATTTATTAGTTTATATGGTGTTTAATTTAATTTGATATTATTGATTTTCCTAAATTTGTATAATAATTCTATTTCATTACGAACACATGTACATATTTGTGTCTAAAATGAACATTATCCTTTTCATATTTGTAATAACCGATCAATAATGTATTAATAACGATTTGATTGTAGGAAAAATGAATAGTATATTCTCGAAACGGCATATCAACAGGTTCGAAGGAAGATTATCACGAATGCTTTAAACCGCATTCGTCATGACCGCAACCCATAAAAAACAATATTATTCTAAAAATATATTTTTTATTCTCTCTCAAACTTGTTTCGAACTTCTCTATCTGTTTTATCATCGCAACGAGTTAGTAAATTCTCTACATTGTTCGGTGAATTTTTAATTATTTTCCGACCAAAAAAAAAAAAGAAAATTTTCAATAGAATTCCCTAGTTGACATTTTATTTGTAGTTTTATTAGTTTCGTACCTATCAACGAGAAATTAACTTTTCGTTATGTTCCTATTTACTTTTGTTCTTATCCCGAATCACTTTAAATTGATAAAAAAAAAAAGAACACGCATATAAACACACACATACACCAAAAGAATGGAGACTCGAAAGATAAAATTGTGTCTGGATTTTTTCGGGTATTTCGAAATGGAACAAACCCAACTACGATTCAACCGGTTAAAACCAACCGAACGAGAAGATCTTCACGGACACGTAGGAAACATAACGTTTAGCTTTAGTCTAGATTAAAGACGGTAAGAGAAGTATTTCCACGGCGTGCTTGAACGGAAACAACGTACTAACGCAGAATTTCTTACATAAGTGTATATTTTCAATTCGAACCGTAAAAAGAGATTCGACGATTTTCTATTAAAAACTGATAGCACTAAGAACATTTTCTTTTTATTCTTTCAACAAAAAAAAAAAAAAAAAAACAAATCGACAAATGTGTCGACGTTTACCAATTTTTCATCAATTTTTAATCTAATACAATTTTTCACATTAAATTAAAATCAAATATTGAAAATAATCGATTCAAACGTAAAGATTAAATAGAAAATTAAATTAAAAAAATAAAATAAAATAAAATAAAATAAAACGAAATTAAAAATTTGAATGAAAGACTGAAAAATGAAGGAACTTATCATATCAAATTTCGAAACGATTCGGCGAGATTAAAAGGAACGCGTAGATAATTGTTTGAACCGCGAGTCGAGGTAAAAGTGGTCGGACAATACTGCACAACGGGAATTTAATAAAGCTAGGTGCCCGGACCAATGGACGTTGCGTAGAACGTGGCTAAAAGAAATGGACGTGGAGCGTGTCCAGCATGCACAGAAGCACCTTTCGACCGTCTTTATCTTCCCTTTTTCCAACAATTTTCTTCTATTCGAGCTCTCACTCCTTCCTTCGTAGTTACTTACTCAGAGAAGTATTATATTTCCTTTCTTTCTCACTTTTTCTTTCCCACCCTTTCACGAGTACAACATGTTTTTCTCTCTTTTTATCAAAGATTCGTTAAAATTTTCTCTTTCTCTTTCTTATTTTTTCTTTTTTTTTTTTTTTTTACTTAGCTTGACCAAGTGTTCTCCACAGGATATACCTATAGGAAGAATGATATAAAACTCTTACAGATAAAAGAATTTTCAATTTAAAACTAAAGTGATGTGTCGTCTATTAATTTTAATTTAAATGATGCAGAATAGATATATGTAACTATATATATAGTTACAGTTTTATTTCATCCCTCTCTAAATTTGTATAAACTACAAAGACACACATTTATATTTATCCTGTTTATTATTTTCCAGTTTATTTTATTTTATTTGTTTCTTTCTTTTTTGGCACAAACTTACTTGATTACTTCATATCTGAAAGTTTATCGTGTTTTTTAAGCATAAGTTATTCAGGGTGAGCCAAAAGTTCCTAGGTCATCTTAAATATACTAGAACTGCAAAGCTGTTCGGGTAGTTTTATGATTAAAAAAAAAAAACGTCTAACAGGTGTAGTAAATTTTTTTAAATTACGCAAGAACTTTTGGCTCACTCTGTATGTATATATTATCGTCTAATTATATCATAAAAAGTATCATAATTTAACCCACGTTAAATAATTATTTTGTAAACAAAAGAAAATTCAGTTGTACAAGATTATTAGTCATGATAACGTTAGATGATATTCAAATTATGGCGACCGAGATACCTATCCCATTGTCTACCTTCGTCAACCGAACTAAGTGACATACGACATTCAGTCAAGCGCATTTAGAGTACCCTCAACCAGTTAACACACCTAGAACAGGAATAAATATATCGACCCTAATGTTAACTTAATCTGGCTTTAACTATGTAACTAGGACTATCTCTCTAAGAACCACTTTAACGAACTTGATTTACTGTAAATTTCATTTCATTCTCTCTCTCTCTCTCTCTCTCTCTCTCTCTCTCTCTTTCTCTAGCGGCACTCAAACCTTCTGTAGTTGGGTTTACTTCAATGTACCAACAGTTTGGTTAAATAAATTCAATCTTATTAAAATGCTGTTGTTCAAACACTGTTGGATGTCGATCTATATTTACCTAACTTCCCGTCCCATTCAAAGCCTGTGCTATGAAAATTACATTATACATGATAATAATGCATAAACTGATGATATTGTAAAGCACTTTTTAATCAAATATCATTTTTCAAAAATTAACCACAAAGGTCTGAATAGCGAGTCCAATGTGGGTTGTTAGTAACCAACGTGACATTAAATCGTTAATGCTTATAATCTTTACAACTTTGTATAATCTCTAATTTTCAATTATCCCTTTGAGTGTTATGAACGCATATTTGCGTCCAGTAAAAGCTATCTATGTGAATTTAGGACGCATATATACGTTCAGTTAAAGCTACCTGTGTAGATTAAAGACACGTTTATGCATTTAGCAATTTTTACCTATATTCTTGCTGGTTTTCCCTTCTCGCTTCCAGCTATATTTTTTATAGAGAATATATATTTTATATATTATTAATTAATATTTATTTTAAATATATATATATATATATTTTTTATATTATTGGAATTATTTAAGATATATATAAATATTATTTATAATAAAATTGTATTACATTTATATATTAATATGTTTTACTATTCCCATAACAATTTAATTGACTTATATTATATCAAAGTAAGACAGAGTTCCATACATGTTCCATATCGTTATTGACCGCCTATAAGCTAGAATTTATTACCACCGTTAGTAAAATAGGAATCCACTTTAACTGATCAATAAACAGAAATAGTTTTATAATTGTTATTTTTTCTAATACATTGGTCTACTAATTACTTTCCTAATTACAGATCAGATAAAACTAATGTAAGTCAACTTTTAAATTTCACAATAAATAAAAAATATGATTTCTTGTCTTACCCTGTGTTGGTAAGGTAGACATTTTTGTCTTTGTTGATAAGATAGAAAGTTTCGTATAATACTGACGAAGAATTACTTCGGCTGAAATGTTTGAAACTGTGCAATAGGAGTTGTATACATATAGGGGTTTTGTCCAGGGCGCCGACGCCGTTCTATAAATAACGAGTTTGAGGGGTGGTGAAATGGAAGAATAGAGAAAGAGAAGGGATAGATAGTCCGGGTTTACGGGGACCGGCAAAATCCTATGAAGAAAACGACGTACGCACGTACGACAACGGCAGTAGTAACGTCCGTGGCAGTGCGCTCGTTCTTTCGTGCGCCCTTTAAGTAAAGCCGAGATTAAATACCATGCCTTTGGCTTTAACCCTTTTCCCCTTTCCCGGAATGCGATTAAAGAGAAGTATATAGTGACTCCAATCAAAGAAAAAACGAAGATTGGCCTAAAGTTTGAAGGGTCCTAAAAAAAAAAACAAAAAAAAGGAAGATATTCCAATTGTTATAAAACAGATACAAATTTGTGATATCATAGGTTTAAATAGAAAAAAAAAGAAAATATAAAATACAAAAAAGAAGAGATAGATAGAAAAAGAAACAAATTGTGATAAAGTTAGACAGATATCAGAGAGAAGATTAGAGAAAAAAAATAAAAGATATACTTTTAGAAGGGGGTGGGAAAAAATATCAACTATGTGCAGGCGTTTGAAGGATCAAAAAAGAAATTGGTCGCAGAGCGTCGTGGCTTGCGGCGCCGCGACAACGCGTCTCAAAATCTGACTCTTCTTCTTMTTCGTCTTCTTCTTCTTCCTTTGAAGAATCGAACAGAGCAAACGAGAATAAACAGAGAAAAAGAGAAATAAGGAGGGAGAGTGTGTGCTTGTGTAAAAGTGCTGGCGAAGAAAGGAGGAAAGGTGATTATATAAACGGGGTGATGCCCTGTTAGAGAGAATAAGTCGAGAGAGAGGAGCGGTGCGTTATACCTCGAACGACGTCCATCTCGCCCCTGCTGCAAGAGAAAGCGCCTAATTATATATCAACGTGCATCGCGCATGCGTAGAATTTACGAAATGTCGCGGGACGTAACGCACCCCCTCTCAACTCACCAAAGAGGAGAAGACTCTTATAATGTGATCAAACGAGTCTCTAAATGCATTTCTCTTTGTTTTTATTTATTTATTTATTAATCTAAATAAATAATAAAACTCTTCTAACAATCAAAAATAATCATTCAAAACAAATAATATTAATGATATTAATTCACAGATAAATAAAAAATAATTTTAATTAATAAATTTTGGTTTGCAATTATCAAGACAAATGATATAAAGTACATTTTGTCCAAAATAATTTGAAAGATAGTATATCTGATATTTCTTATTGTACTAAATAAAAACAATGTTTCATTAATAATATTAGTTTTATATTTTAAAAAAAGGATTAAGAAATCGTTTTAATTAACATCGTAATCGCCATTTTCATCGCTATCGTTATTATCAAAATTATTATCATTGTATTAAGTTATGGTGTGATCATTTTTTACGATAGCATAGCAAGTAAAGATTTTCCCGAGAAAGACCCTTAGCAAGAGGGTAAGCTAGGGAGAAAAAGGGTCGATATCGTATCTAAGCATCGTTGCAATCTAATAGGCACCTTTATAGACCTGCCTGTAAACGTTCCTTCCTACGAAAGAAATTTACTCTCTCGCGATACAATAATAATATCTATGAAGAATATATATATACGTACACATATACACATTTATATATATATATATATATATATATATATATATATATATATAGGTCAATACGAAATAGAACACAACTCACCGTGGGCTAGATGCCAAAGAAAATGTTAACTGACAATCGTGATGTCTCGTAAATCCAAACGATTAGAAAATACGCGTTTCACGGTGTGAACAGTTCATCGTGATCAATCTTTGTCCTATTAATAGTGTTTCCTAAATAATAGAAAAATCATTCGACTAGTTCGAGGTGAGAAACAAAAAAAAATGTAAAAAAAATTCCAACTAAAAGAAATGACGAACAACTTTTGTTGCTTTCTCTTTTTCTCTCAACAGATTTTTAGCTACAATGGCTTTAGTTATGCTTCCTTGTGACCTACCATGGTGGTCAGCTGTGGTAAAACAATTGGACAGAGCAGCACTCGCCAAAAACTCCACGGATCTTATGGACGCGATGCAGAGATTGCACGACATGTGCAAGTAAGCGTGACATTTTACGCATCTTATTGTATTATATTACGTAGCGTTAAATATAACAAAAACACACACGAAGGACACACGCGCGTATACAATACAAACGTAGGTATAGATATGTTTTTAAGTTCTTTAAAATGACTGACAATGAATAAAAAATATTTAAAAAAAAAAATGGATAGAAAAGAAGAAATAATGTTTTTTTTTTGCTTTTATCTAATTTATAATAATATTTCCGTTTGACATAGTTATAAAATTAACTCGGCGAAGATACGACAATGCACACAAACGTGAAACTATATTCGGTCGATGATCTCACGCCTGTATTTTATTTTGTTTGATGTTACTGCTCGAAGGAATGTAAAATTTACGACTAACTTGTCGCTTCTGCGCATTAGAGAAACGTTTAAAGGATCTCGTTAAAGTGTCTCATCTTTTATGATCCTCTTAAAATGATATTCGTAAATCTTTTATGATAAAAAATAATTAAAAAAAAGAACACATGCTTAACGATACAATTAGAGGAAGTTATAAACGAGCTTTCTACTTCGCGCTTTACGTAAGGTGGCGCTTGTTTGTCTAATTTCATTTGATTATTTTAAACAACAGCGGGAACTTTCGTTTCAGCATAAGCTTAGATCCCGAAGAGGACATTCAAGATCCCGAGTTATTCACAGGATTGGGGAAATTCCTCGATGAGGATCTCGACTTTAACGAGCGTGAACAAATATTCACTAAAACAATACCACGAATGGTAGAAAGAGCTAAATCTTTGAGATCTACAAAACCTTCTTTGGGCTTACACTACAGCTTACAGCAACAAGGTAACTAATTATACAATATTTAACAAACAAAAAAATTAAAAATAATAAAAGACAGAAAAATAATAAATTTGTTAAAACATAAAAAATACTTTCTAATATTCCAATAAGATATTTGCGATCATTTACAAACGTATACTTAAACATAATATAATATGTTTTTTTTTTTGTTAGGAGACAGTGTCGAATATAGCTACGCTTTTGTCTCTTCTCTCATTGCTAATGCATTTTTCTCAACGTATCCAAAAAGAACGACAAAGACACATCCCACCTTAAGAGATTTCAATTTCACGAATTTTTTCAAACATCTTCACACGTGAGTCAAATTCCGATAAAAATAATTATAATAATTATTGGCGAAATATTAACAAAGATATTGCTATGTTTTAGGAATTGTCAAAAGGCAAAATTAAGAAGCATATTTCGTTACTACGATTATCTCGAAAACGAAGATGCTTTGGACGGACGAGTGATTATTTCGAGACAGGTAAAATGAAAGTGCGTTTGTTAAGAATGATATGAATCAGGATAAACAAACAAATAAAGGAAATAATAAAGAGGACAATTATTTTAATCCTTTATGTTTTTTGTACGTAGGTAATGACATCAAAACAATGGTTGACTATTGAAGATTGGCTCGAAAGTAATATACCACTATGTCCATTGACGATTCGTCATGAAGGTCGTTTGGGAAGACAAGAAACAGAAACCGTTTACGTTTGTTTTGCAAGTGCGAAATTCGGGGGTGGAGTACTCGACGGTGATATCACACAAGAAACCATACATGTAAATAAATATAATTATTTGTATATAACATCTGTAATATCAATCTTAATATATAATATCTGTTATTTCAGTTAGCAACTCATCCAGAAATGATCGCAGCAATTTTGTCAGTCGAGGCTTTGGAAGATAACGAAGCTTTAGTAGTCGAAAATGTTAGGCGTATATCTATCATAAACGATCCCCATAACAGAGCAATATTTGAAGCTATTCCCAAACCAAATACCGTAATTGATTATATTAATTGTGATCAATAAGTTTCCTTGTGTTTTAAAAAATATTTATTATTATATTAATTTTATATTAATTATTTATTTTTTTTCTTAAGGTAACCATTTGCTGTATAGATCCAGAAGATTATTCAACATTACCATTAACTCAATTCGTAGAGGACAATATTTTGAGAGAAATGAACAAGTCTCTTCTAGGATTTCGACAAAGACACGTACCGAGTAGCCCAACAGACCCAATCAAAAATGAATTAGATCCAGATGGGAGTTTAGGAGCTCGGAGATTATCGCCGATTGGTGAAAGTTTTAGTAGCACTCCACCTGAAATTGAGAATGAAAATAAATCCTACGATGGCACGAAAGATGGTTAGAAATCGAACAATTTAAACTATTACTTTTCTAGTATAATGACAACTATTATAATTAGGATTAATCTATCATATTTACTAATTATTACAGCTGAAACAACGACGTTTAGTGAATTGAACAAATCACCGAGTGGTACTGAACTTCGAACAAAACCGAACGGTAAATTCATTCGATCAGCGAGCCCTCGAAGAGTTTGCAAGGATAGCAGTTATACGAACAAGAGAAATCGTTTCATCGTTCTTGGATCTAGTGGTGAAGTTCTACCAGTCACTCGGAAATCACTTGGTCAAATGTCTGTTTACAGTAGTTGCAATAGTCAAAGTACGGATAGTTTTCATAGTGCGAAAGATACAATGGACGAAGAAGTTGGTACGTAAAAGAACGAATATTATTCTCAGGATTCGCTTAGAATTTGTAATCAATTTTAGATGAAGAAGAACAAAAGTTAACAAGACGCTATAGTTCGCAATTGGATACACCCGAAAGACGAGGTACATTTGCACAAAGATTGAAAGAAGCTCTCAAGCGAGAAAGTACAGCTACTGGTGCATCTACTTCCAATACTTCTTCCGGGGAAAGCAGTTACGCTGTTGGGATAAGTATCGCAGGAAGTAACGTTTGTGATCAGGATATCAAGTAAATCATTTTTATTTATACTTAAATAATCCCATCTATTAGCTATTATTAAGTTAATTACTGTTGTATCACTGAATATTGCAGGCTCAAAAGAGGAGGTTCAAGGGGATTCGTTTTACGAGATGAAACGGTAGACGAAGATTTTTTAAAAGAGTCTTTGGAAGCAGAGCAAAAGTGGTTAGGTAGATTCCGACAAAGTCAACCACCAGCGTTTCAAAGGAGAGAAACTAATGCTAGCAGTAAATATAGTTTTAGTACCGAATATAATTCTGGTAAGTAAAAATACATTTTATATAAAACATGTATAACTTTAATATTTTCGATACGTTGATCGAACATTTTTCGTTCTTATTCTATTAGACTTCTGTTCTGAATTAGAAGAAGTCTACGAGCAATTATCAAAATGGTTGGAAGATCCAATTGCAGCGGATGAAAATCGGGAATTGGATGCACGTGACAGAGCAGTTGTTAGATTCGCTGGTTCTTTATTAAAAAGAGCGCTAAGCGAATCGTTCGCAGGTGTTCCACTTCAAGAAGGTGAACCACAACCTTTCATCGATTCGACTGATATCAATCAGGGGCACAAATTAGCTTCAGCTGTGAGAAGTTTAAGTTTAGAACTGGCACGTCAGAAAAGCAGAAGGCAACAATCGGTAAAAAGTCTATTTTCTTCTTACTAAATTTATTATTTTCAATAGATGATAAAAATATAATTCCATTCTATTGAATCGTGTACCGCCATTGAGATAGAATGAGAGACTATATGAATTTATTTTTTATATATATAACCCTAATTATAATATAAATAAAATAAGAAAAAATTTCATTGAAAAAATTAGACAAATGAATATTGTATTGTTAGATTTCACATTTTATTAGACACACATTTAAGGCTGTACCATACAGGTTACTGAATCCGAAGACATAGAATATTACGAAGATGCTCTGAACGATGAGGCTACGATAACAAAGGATACGAAGGATTGCCAACGCAGGAAACTGCGAGCTGTTGCATTTACTTCTGAGGTATATCAAACCTTGGTCGATGATTATACTACTGTATACCTACCCAAATCTATAGATAGAAAGATATCTGGAACTGATGATAATAATATTACGGAATCAGTTAATGTCAATAATACTACGCATGGAAATCCTATAGAGAAGTCCATACAATATTTAGTAAATGAAGTGAGCAGACTTATTCTTAGTTAGAATCACAATAATGATATTGTGAATTTGTATACATAAATATCTATGTAACAATCTAACGCATGATAAAATGAACGTAATAACGTCGACAATTCTAAACTTTTATCTGATGCCTATCACTTCGATTATCTATCTCTTTCTCTCTAAAGATATGTTTAAATAATTTAAATCTGACAAATATATCAATTATTAATTAAAAAAAGAAGAAAAAATCAACGAACTTCTACATATACTAATTATTCGTGCATGATCAATATTATAAACACTGCTTTAGCTTCAGCCAAAACTAGTTTTTAATAATTAACATAACATTTATCTGTCTCTCATTCTATCTACCTTATAATGTGCTTTTTTTATTTGTGAAAATTAAGATAACATATTTCGTTCGTTTATAAATTAGTAATTATCTTTTTCTAAAAAGCTCAATAATTCGATACAATATAAAACAATAATCAAACATCGTTTGTTTACGAAAAAAAAAAAAATACTATAACCAAAATATTTAAATTAGGAAACTAAATATTACCTTTTATGCTTCCTTCTTATCTACTGTCTCATAGTTTATTAACAATAATAATTTATGTTCTATAAATATTCATTTAATGCATGTCAATGCACTTTTATACAATATCACAGCAACATTTACAAATGTTATATATTTTTTATATTATAAAATTATGTTACATATGAAAATGTAATATATTTATGCAAATATGTGATAAATAAAATCAAAGAATAATATGTAATAACTATTATATTTATAGATACCTCGAGAGAATAATTCAAACATTGGCGGATTGTTGTCCGTAGCAACAGGCAATTGGGGTTGTGGGTCAAGGTTGAAAGGTGATCCACAATTGAAGCTTGTCATACAATGGTTAGCAGCTTCATTGGCAGGTGTACCAAGATTAATTTATTACACCGCAGGAAACTGTTCTTTATCTAAGGTAAGAATCGAATGAAAATTTTTAAATAAAACGAAGAGAACAAATTTAAACTAATTATATTATTTACATTTTAGTTGGATACAATAAGTAGAGTTCTTCTAGATAGACAATGGTCAGTAGGTGATTTAGCTGCAGCTACCTTGAATTTTTCCAAACAAGCAATAGAAGAAAAGGTAGTAAATAGAAATAATCTTTTTGAAGAATTAATTGGCATGGACAAGTTAAGTCCTTAACCTGACCAAATGCTGTCCGTTTTAGTAGACATTCTTGCTACTATGATAGAGGACAGCTTACTAATGTCGCGTGAACAAAATACAATGTCAATAGCTGACGACAATGAATCGAAATAAGAAATGGTACTAAAAGAAAATAATAATAATGAAAAAGAAAACAGGTCTAAAAAAAATGAATTGAAACTAAAAAATTGCAATAAGATATTTATAAGTATACGATCGAATAAGATGTTGCTTACGTTTTACTCTTACATTCTATCAATTTGGTGAACTAAAATCATTGTAAATATAATCTCTAATTTAATTCCTTAATATAAACTCTCAATAAAACGACTAGAATGTAATAATCATTGATACTGTCAATTTTATAAAACATCAAGTAAAACATAATTATTCTTACACTAAATTGTTAGAATGAAAGAGTCACGTAAAAGTAAGTAACTTCTTTTTCTACTTTATCTTTCCAAGATTTAAACTTAACTAAACTTAAAAATGAAAATGATCAATAATCAAAACGAAGTAATTTATCATTTAGCATATCAATACGATGTTTCACAACTGCACAAGCTGTACAAAATAGCCCTATCGAAGTAAAAGTAGATATTCTGATATTTTCTGTAAATACATGAAAAAGTGCATTTTTTCAGGGAAAAAAGGTTTTAATGATTATATAGGAATAGTAGTATTCAAAAAAAAAAAAAAGAAAAAATGATAATAACTATAGCACAACTATCAAGTTAAACAGATGTACAATATGATATATTAGTAACACGAATGTATAACATGTCAATTCTAACTCTTTGTTTATACAATGAAACATATTTGCATATAATTATTAATAAAACACGATATATACTGATCTATATTTTATACAGTAAAATTTGTAAGACATTGACATATATATATATATAAATATATAACATAAAGAGTAATTGCTAGTACAAGCAGAAAAACGGCACTTTAATATCAAAAGAAGCTAAGAAAAAGGAGGAAAAAAAAGAAGACAAATCCAAAACAAGTTTTATGTTTAAAAGAAAATAAGTTTATCTATACGCAATTTGTAACCATATGGTCCAAAAATAACAGAAATATTTCACAAAATTTATATACACCCATAAAAATAAAAAAGAAATTCTATTTTTTGCAGCAAATATATCAATATTTAATGAGACGAAGTTTTACTCCTAAAGTGATATTTTAAAAGCGAACTTTGCGCTTTTATGAACAAGATTTTTATCCAAAATAATCAAGGATACTGCTTTTACTATAAATAAAACTCTGCACGATACAATAAACTCTAGTTTAAGAATAATAAATAATTTTAGCAAATAAGGTTGTAAGCCTCAATCTCATAGAAATGAAATGTAAAAAGTGAAAGAGTATTGATCAGAAAATTTCCCATTTGATGAATAATCTTCGCGGTTTACAACTTTCTACAGCTAAGGTATTACAACAATGAATAGAATTTTAGAACAATTTTTTGTCATATTTTATAAACAAATATACAGGCTGCTTTTTATATATTAAATAATTTGTATACATCTACTTATATGGAATAGACATTAATGTAGCCTGTGAAGGAGAATGCGTCTATTAACACAAGGTCTTCCATTACAAAACAACGAGTGAAAGTATTCATTAAACAATTCTCTTATGTACTATTTATACGTATCTCATTTTTGAGCATATTATATTATGTTTGTATTGAACTTGCGAGACCGTATAAACTTATGTAAATAGTATCCATTATTTTTTATATTATATTAAGAAAAGCCGAATGGAATTAATTTTAAACAAAATTTCACTATAAATCGACTTACGTTCAATTACATAATCGACATATAAAATTTTTTTATTTAATATTCGATAGATTATATCAAATTGTTCTTTCAATATTATTTATAACATAATACAAAACTGAATGTGAAGTAAAGCAATATAATTCACATAATGCATCACAGGCTTTATTGACTTTACATCTTAGAGATAGTTAATATATCCTAAAACACAATTAATGAAATACCGCATTCCTGGTTTATTGTTTCTAAATCAAAGCATACGAATAAGGTATATAAATATTTTTTATAAGTATCATAAATATCCTTCGTTACGTTTAGCTATTTTTTTTCATATAAGTGAAATGTCTTACTTCAGTCGATTAACTTATAAAACTAGAGTTTGAGTGTACCTGCTTAGCGCTTTATTCCATATTCAATACAATGTACTCCATTGTTCTGCAAAATTTACTCACCGATTGCACTGATGATTTTATTTTCAAAATCCTGAGTTTATTATTTTAATAAGGTGTAAGAAAAGGAAAGTATAAAAAACAAAATGTTCCATTCACTTATCAAAAAAACAAACTTCGCAAACGTCGACCAACACCTTGTCTATCATATAGTATATTAAATTTGTTTACAAATTGATTTATATTATTGCAACCTTTGGTTATAATGCCCAAGTATGTCATCAGAGCAAAATCATTGCATTGCTGAAATTAAATACAAATAAATTATTATATTTACATAAATGTAATATATATATATATATAGAAGAAAAATACAAATATTTAAATACATACATTATAAAAATCAGCTCTAAATTTAGGATTATTTAATACAGGTAAACGGTATCCAAGAGAACAGGCTGCTCTTAAAACTTCGTGATTTCCTTTTAATTCGCCACTCTGTACCGCTTGCACGTATCTTAAAACTAATTTTACTCTCGAATGTAACATCTTAATAGCACTGTGTTGAGCTGCCAAATGTTCTGCCACTAAGCATTTAACAAAAATGATATCAAATATTAAAATAGAGAAATAAAATTTATAAGAAGCAAGAAATATTTTACCTAAAGAACTTTCTCCCTGTTCATTGCTACACATTCTCGCAACATGATCGACTCCAATCCTTTCTGCTTCCTCTGTAGCTAACGTATAAGTTAATGGAACGAATAACATAGTAGCTTCTCCATTAACTAAATCAATCACAGACTCATACATGGAAACAGATAATTGCTGTAATAAAAGGTACACTATATATGTAAAATATTTTTCAATTCTTTAGAAATCATTACAGTTTCATGAAGTATTTCTTACATCTGTATTTTTTGGTCTTGGATCCAATTTTAAAAGTACTGGACTTTCGTTGATTTCACAAATCTGTTTATGAACTCTAATATCTCTCTCACTGGGCAAATCTCCAGTAGTATACCACCCAAGAAAGTCCATTTCACTAAAAACTTGTTTAAATTGTTCCTCTTTTGTATTATAATAATCCCTATCAATGATAACATCATCAGCAATGCATGTAAATAATAACTCAAAGGAATTCATAATTTCTATATTACGTCCTTTCTGTTTTCCTATTAACGCTCCATAAACTGAAAAAGAAACTTGTCATTATAATCATCCAATAATAAACTCAAAGTTATAAGAAAATTAATGCAAGATCAAGATACCTAATTGTTCGGATCCTTCTTGAGCTCTTAACCTGGTCCAGTGTTCGCTAACATTCATAATAACCAAAGGATGTAAACTGATAGATACGGAACCAACTGTACCAGAAGATGCCATAACTTTCATCGCACTTGAAAGACCAGAAGATGCATTAGGATCTCTTTCAGATGTATCTTCATCAACTTCCATTGGTACGTCTACCGGAGCAACAATATTATCATCTATTTCCATATCGCTACCTCTTTGCTTAGACTCATCCATGATATCAAAAAGGCTGAACAGCCCTCTTGGACGGTATTTTTATCGATGCCTTAAAGAAAAAAGGAAAAAGTAATATAAATAAAATACAAAATAATTATTCTATTGCTAAGTCAAAATACAATTTTGATATAATAAATGAATTTATTGGATAAAGTAATTCTAACAATATTTTATCAAATATGAATTAATCACGCACAGAAATATATATCATCCGATTATCTGATTAACAGTTTTGTGAGAAGAACAATAATAACGTACTTGTAATCTTTGTCTCGTTGATTGAAATAACAGAAAATTCGACAATTTACCAGGATCGCCGCAAATGTACAAAAAAGCAGATTTATATGGTATAATATAGTTCACTTATAACAGCACATTTATTAATAGGTTCGCTAGTGTCGTGGTTAGGTGCACGCCATCTGCTGTTAAATATTGTTAACAATTAATTCGAATACACTAGCTCCGCGTCACGTACAAAAAAGAAACTAAAATTGATGATTGTTAAAATATGAATACAACTCTTATCGGCAACGTGGTTGAACGTGGTCAAAACGTTTTTAAACCGAAAGCCACGTAAGGTGGCGAACAGTGGTTAGTAGCAGATAGTAGTCTGTCAAAGTGCGGTGGTGAGCGGTTGTGTGAAACGAGCTGCCGCTCACAACGCTACAATTCAAAACTATCACGTCAAAAGTAAATTAATTTTTTTCTAAAAATGGTTACGATTAAAGGAAGAAAAAATTCTAACAAAAATCCACCAATATTCAGTCATGAATTTGTTATTCAAAATCACGCGGATATTGTCGCCTGCGTGGCTATGGTATTTGTAATCGGTTTAATGATGCAGGTCAGTGTCCGTATTATTTGGTTTATCTTAATGTATCATTAAATTGACTTCAATTGTTTATTATTTTGTGTTTCTATAATAATTCATTTTTATGCATTATAGAAATTACGAGATTTATGTGCGAATTATAAAATGTTTTAATAAAATTATTTGACTTTGACAGTGAGTAACTTACGAACATATGTTACTTTCTGACATTAATGTCTTCGGTTCATTTTATTCATATTTGTAGAATTTTAATTAATATTTGAATTATTAATGAATGTAATATCTTAGATTTATATTTATTATGATCAAATATTTTAAATTTAATTTTATTGTATTTTATTAAATATTGCTTTTCTATGTAAATATATGAATTTTTAAAATAGTCTTTTAAATGTACATACTTTTTTTAAATAAAGTTTAAAATTTGTAAATGTTTATTTTGCAGGTCACGTCACCATGGGCTTATACGTTTATTGCTATACATCATAATGTTTCTACAGCAATTACCAATGATCCAACATTACCACTAAAATATACGACTGGTTGGAAGGATGCATGTGCTGTATTTTTTTATTTTTTAATAACTATTGTAATGCATGCTGTATTTCAAGAATACATATTCGATGTAAGTATATTCATGCATCAAATATAGTATGTGTCTGAAAAAGAAATATTTTATTATAAAATATCTATTTTATTCTTTTCAGAAAATATCAAAACGTCTTCACTTAAGTAAAGTAAAACTTGCAAAGTTCAATGAATCCTGTCAATTGATAGTATTTTATCTGCTCTCAGTTATTTGGGGCATTGATATCATAATCAGGTAAAAAGTTAAATCTATTATTTAATACGTTATCTTAAATAGAATACCTGTACTTATAATTTTGTTAATGTTTCAGAGATAATTTGTTGTTAAACATAACTTCTTTATGGAATGATTATCCAGTACTCTTATCATTCTCCTTAAAATTATTTTTTATTGGGCAACTTTCCTACTGGTTACATTGTTATCCAGAATTATACTTTCAACGAGTAAAAAAAGAAGATATTGTACAACGTGTTATATTTACCACCATTGGCTTGTTGTTCACTTTCGCAGCCTATTTCTTAAAGTATGATAATGTTATAATTTCATCATATAAAATACTTTAATACTTTATATCAATATAATTAATTCTTTATTATAATTATTACAGTTTCCAACAAGTAACCGTCATACTACTTGTCCTTCATTATACTGGAGATGTTTTACTGCATGCTGCAAGAATTAATCACTTTGTTAATCAGAAAGAAAATACAACGAGAAGTGAGTTTCGCATAAGTCATTTACATTCTCTCTGCACATATTAATTAAAAATAATATTGTTATATATAAATTTGTTTACAGTATCATTCCTGATTGCCAATTCAGTATACGTGTTTGTTCATATCGCATCTTTAGTACTTGCAGTTTTAGTATTCTTATACGGATTTAATCAAACTGAAAGTTCATTTGATTATACTACTGGTAACTTCAATACTCCTATTGTACAGTATACTGTTTTAAGTGTTATTGTATTTTTCCAAATTTATCTCTTACATTCGTTCGTCATGAAACAAATTAAACGCGCTCGAGAAAATACAACCCCTGTTATTACGAAAGTAAAACCAAAACAAAAATTGAAAAAAAAAGAAGGTAAGTTTAAATATAATATGAGATAAATATTTAGGTTTTATAAATATCTACAATTTAATAATTCATGCTTTTAGGTAAAAAATCAACTTTGTCTGAAGATGATGAATTACCTGAAGTGGATCAAGCAACTAAAAAGAATTTGAGATCTCGTTCTTCTACAAAAGCGAAATAACTTGTTTTATATATATATATATATATTATTAATAAAATTGTATAAGGCTGATTAGATATCAGATACCATTCGCTTACGTGTCATCATCAATATCAAGGAGTGAATGTTCCGAAATAATGTTCTTCCTTAGCCGTAGAATTTATAACAAAAATTACACTTCAATATAATTTAAGAAATTCACGAAAATATCTTCATAGCCTATGTATATCGAATATTGTAATTATGAGAATAAGATTTTTTTGTGTAACTATTTCATTAGTCTTATACTCAATTCATAAAAATGATATAAACAGAATATGCATTGGCTCTTTTATATAATAAAATTCTTTTTTATCGAGAAAAAGAGAAAAAAAGACAATAAATAAATATATTTATTTAAACAAGTTTCGTCGATAAAGAAGGCTTAAATAAATAGAAAATGACAGCAGCGCTATCTGATATAAAAATATGAAAGTTAATCGAAAGTTTGTTCTTACGCATGCGTCTACGTGTGTACGTTCCTTTGATTATTTCTCATCTGATCTCTTAAAAGAGTTACAGTATTTATTATCTAAATTTTGCATGTGCAGTGTTTCTTATGAAGTGTTGATTAAGATTTAGAGTTGTTTGTGCAATGCTATGAAATTAGTACATTTTTCTTATTGTTCGTGTAACAGTAGAAAAAAAGTTTAGAATAATTTGTATAATCTTTGAAGTTTATGACACGCATGTGTGCAATACGTCAGAACAACTAATATTTAATGGAAGTATGTTTTTTTATTCCCATCTATTTTAACTTTATTTGCATTGATTTAAATAATTTTTTGTGAAATATATACCTCTTATAATCTTATTGATATTTTATTCCTTAATTTTATAGGTTAGGTGGTGACTAGACTTTCGTTGAAAAGGGGCGCAGATAGTGATAAATCTCATTTATCTTTTCTTCATCCGTGCGGACGGCGTTGGGAGATACCATTAGTGAAGAATTATCCTTACAAACAGGTGCCGATTACTTAAAGTATTGTCCAACAGTATATTTATTGACTCTGAGAAAATTACTACAAATTCCTATGATTTATGCTAACATTGACCCTATTAGGAGGTCTTAAATGTCAGATCTTTAGTATCTTAAAATATAGATGAGATTTCTAATATTTATAAAAAGAAAAGAAAAAAAAATAAGATCAATAAAGAATATTTATTATATGAAAAAATAATTTGTACAATTATAAAAGAAATACACAAAAGATTTTAGTACACTTTAGTCAGTATTTTAATTGTCAAAATGCTAAAGAAAATATCTGAATTGTCTCATTTGAAAATGATTCTTAATGAATTTCCGAAAAATATTAAATTCTGTTTTGCATACGGATCTGGTGCATTTAAACAGTTAAATAATCATGATGATAAAATGTTGGACCTTATATTTGTTGTAAAAAACCCAAACAAATGGCATGCAGAAAATTTAAAACTTAATCCAAAACATTATTTTTTACCAATGAGATATCTCGGACATAAATTTATTACCAATATACAAGACAATTGGGGTGCAAAAATTTATTACAATACCTTGGTAAAAACCAAAGCAGGACAAACTATTAAATATGGAGTAATATCTGATATTTCTCTGATAGAAGATTTAATAGATTGGAACAATTTATATGTGGCAGGAAGATTACATAAGCCTGTAGAAGTTCTGATAGAACCAGCTGAAAATTCTCCGATACGTATGGCTCTTGTGGAAAATTTACATTCAGCTGTTCGTGCAGCATTCTTGTTACTTCCTGAACATTTTACCAAAATAAATTTTTATAAAGTTATTGCTGGATTATCTTACAGCGGTGATTTTCGTATGATTTTTGGAGAAAATAAAGATAAAATACACAATATTGTAGTCCCGCAATTACAAAGTTTCCAAGAATTGTATGCACCAATTTTACAACATTACGAGCAATTTATAGATTTTCCTAAATCTGAACAACCGACAGTAATGTGTCATCAAGATACAAATCCAACTACTAGAATATATCATTTAAACCAATTACCTCTAACACCTCAAATTAAGTTGGTAAAAGCATGGTCTGTAGGTCCAAGAACGAAGGATATGGAAGACTGTTTACATTCTATCGCATATGATCCTGAATGCTGTGAAATATTAAAAAGATCTTTAAAAAAAATTGTCTGGAGATCTAGCGTTACACAAAGTTTAAAAGGAATTTTGACAGCTGGATTTAAAAAATCCATTATGTATAGTAATGCAAAGATCAAGAAGATGTTACAATCAAAATTACAGACGAATATTCCTTCTGAATCGAAATCAGATAAAATTAGCAATCTAGTCGAAACTGTTGTGAAGAAGCAAACAGAGGCTAAGGACACTGACAAGCGCCTAGAGTAGTAATTACATCTCTTCTAGTTGTATTTTCAATCTATCACCACATGTACAATTTTTTAGCTTCTATTTAATCAATAAAATGGTCTAGTACTATTGCATTTCTAACTCTTGTTTCTAGCTATTACTTAATCCCTTAAATTCTATGTTTTAATATCTTACTTAATTGCTTTAATCAAGTGTTCCTTATTTTTTGTTACTCTCTATTTTTTTTTTCTTTTCTTGAATTTTATCAATATTTTGTAATGTCAATAAAATACTGTATAAGTCTTCACATAGAAATCAAAATATACAATAACTTTCTGCATGTAACGTACATTATGTTTATTAAATACTTTACTTATAAATTTTTCGTATTTTCAGAAAATAATAAAACTATGACTTCGATGGATACAGATTCTGAAAGCCAGGATAGCGATGACGGGCGTCGATTCCGCTTTGAAGCTACTCGCAAGGATGCAGCTATAATCCCAGACACTGTGAGTAAAGAGAAATCGCCTAAGAAGAAATCAAAACACAGATCTCATTTAGAGGATAAAAATTACCGCGATAGAAAAGAAAGGTCTAAGCATGAAACTAGTAGAAAAGAGTCACAACGTTCAAGGGATCGAGAGATCGATGAAAAAGAATCTAAACATATTACCAAACATGCAAAATATGGAACACATAAAGATTATAAAAGCACAAAAGAAAGTAATTCTACATCAACTGATAAAAATCTAAAATATTCCATGGACTCAAAAGATAGATTACGAGATTTGAAGCACTCTAGAGAAAGAGAACGTAATGGTCATCGTAAACATTCTCGAGAACATTCTCGAGAACATTCTCGTGATAGAAGTTACGATGAGAGATCATCTGTAGACAAATACAAAAACAAATATCACGATAGGCATAAATATTCTCGACATAAAAGTCGGGATAGATCATGTCAGTCGAATCGATTAAAATTATCGGATAATGACAAACCTCGAAGTGAACATGGAAGACATGATTCTATTAAAAAGACCAAAGATAAACGACTGCATCCTTTAGAAAATGAACATAGTGCGTGTCAAAATATTGAACAGATTCGTGATTATAGTGAATCACAATCAATTTCATTGAATAAAGACTGCAAAGCAGCCACGCTATTAAATACACAAGATTGTAAAGATTTAGATTTACGTGATTTCAATGTTCTATCGGAAACAGATGAAAACGTATCTGATATTTCGGATTCTAGAAGTATATATTCATCTTCTTATTGTCATAAGACTAAAGTAAGAAGAGAACAGTTAAAAAATCAATATGAATGTGTAAATAAAAAACAAGTAACACCTGATCAGGAACATGTGGAAGAACTACAAAAGGTAAATTGCAAGAACAATACACCAGTGTTAAGTTCAAGTAATAATAATCCTAGTGCCATTTCAGATACTTTATTAGATTCTTTAGAACCAACATCTATAATGAACAATCAGGTGCAATCATTACAAGAAAAAGATGCAAAATGTGAGTCTAGTGAAAAAAATAATAGTTATATATATGGACCAGTGTTACCACCGCAGATTAAAACATCTCAATGTACATTAAATGAAAACAAAGATACAAATCTGTATACATCTTTATGTACTGAAAAACTTGAAACTAAAGAATGTATTGTTAAAGATGTTAGTGATGAAGATTATAACATTGAATTGATTGGACCTTCTTTGCCAAAAATAGAAGATTCGTCAAATAAACATGAACATTCAAATACAATGAGTGCTTTAAATTTGGAAGAAGTAAATCAGGAACATCAAGAATCTCACAGTCCATCGAAAAATATTAATGAATTTGTGGATGATGCTGCTGCTTTTGGACCAGCATTGCCACCTCATTTAATAAAACAACCAAATGAAGGAGACACAAAAAGTAAATTGATAGGTCCTGTAATGCCAGAAAATCTAAAATTACTTAGTGAGGAAGAACGTATGGCTATGTACTCACAATTAGAAGATGAGGATTCAGATACGCCCTCTTTAACCGATTTTGGTGCAACAAATAAGGGCCAAAAATACCAGGAATTACAAAAACCTGGATTACATTATTTTCATGAAATTAAACAAGAAGTAAGGACCAAATGTTACATTGCAACTATTACGCCATTAATATATGTATGCATGTTTAAAATAATCATTTTTCAAGGTTGCCAAGGATGATGTAGTACATAAACGTGAAAACTGGATGATGGAATTACCTCCAACTAGAGCAGCTGATTTTGGATTACGTGCGCGAAAATTTCGACTTAGACCTGGACCAGACATGTCTGATAGATCTTGTTGGACCGATACTCCAGAGGATAGAGCTAAAAAACAAAAGGTATGTCGATTAAATAATATGACAAATATTTTAATACGAACACATTTTTACAACTAAATATTTTAATTTTATTAGGCAGAAGAAGAAGCAGCAGCATTACGCAGTGTAAAGAAACCAGATAGCATCGAGTTACATAAAGAAAAGCCAAAAAAGACTAAAAAACAAGAAAAATCATTGCTGGAGATACACCAAAGTAAACTTAAGAAGAAAAGAAAGGTATTTTTAATATCTATATTTATATATTAATACTTAAAACTGTTAATTTGATATTTTATAAATTATTTCTTTTATTTTTCAAAATATTTTCTAGAAGGAAGAAAAAGAAGCAAAAGCTGCTGGATTGCCAACTAGGAGGCCATTCGATCGCAATATTGATTTGCAAGTAAATCGATATATGGATCCTGCGCAAAAAAGATCTGTTTTAATGAAAGCAGGAATGTTGAATGATAGATTTTCACGTGGACAAATATAATAATTATATTGCGCTTGTGAAAAAACCTCTTGTAGATTTTGAATTTTCGTAATTATAATTAGTTACAGCTGAGTGCCTTGAAGTATAGCAATAAAGTCATTTTCATTGATTCGGGTTATATGTAAATATATTTTTTTTTTAGATATTTCAATCAAGACATTATCGATACTTTTATTGAAAAAAAAAAAATGATTTTATTTAATACATAAAATATTAATATGTATACAAGAGGACATTTTAAAAAATTTTTATTATACATTATTTTAAATATGCATACTTTTAATACTCTTCAATGTTAATTGTTAATTGTCTTCTATGTTATTATTTTTCACCATCAGCTACATGTAATTTCGTACTAGAGTATCATTGCCTTATAAAAAGAATTTTAGAATAAGGTTTATTGATACTTGCTTAGTATCGAATGTACGAATCTAAGAACTTTACAAATGAAAAGTAAACTTCTATATAATCTAATTACTCTGATACATTATTCAATTTGGCTAATCATATATCTTGTAAATTATGTTAATTTATGATGTATATAAAATTATACTTTGTGTTTATGCAGTTATATTAAATAATTTATTATACATTAACATATTTTAAAGTTCTTACAACATTGACAAATAAATATTCCCAATAATTTCTCCTCATTATTATTATTATTAAATACTCATTAATAAATCATTTTTATGATATTGCAAATTATGATACGATTGAATATGATCATTAATTACAATGATAAATTTATTGAAAAGATAATTATTATTGTAAGTTAACCTAATTTATAATCGTGTTATTATATAAGGTTTATTTTTAGTATGTTTTATAAAAAATGTATTGATAATCTTCAAAATAATATCTGAACACACATTCTTATCAAGTTATCTCTGATGAAAATTATTTAGTATCTATTTTTGAAGGTCTTCATTATTTATAATTGATGTAATTTAGATTTTGGTGAAAATTCCAGCTTTTATCTATTGATTTCTCTTTTTATTAATGTCTTCCTAAAAATTTAATAATTGTGTTACTTTAACGATAATTAGTATAAGCAAACTTATTTTTTGACTTCATTTGAAACTCAAGTGATAAAATCTAAGAAAATACAAATACAGCGCCAATTATTCTCATTCACGTTAATTGTGTTTTTGTGAAATGACGCCACTGTGTGTTTCCTTTAGAAAATCTATATATGCTATTTCTACATATATATGTATGTATGTATGTATGATTATATACTATGTGAGATAGAATTACTATCAGATAGATAAATTAGTTTAATTCGTCTAAAATAATATCAAAACTTACGTTACGTTCAAAACCTCATTATAAATTAAAGATAACCGTGATTACAGTTTGTGTACACAAATCTTGAAAGAACCTATTTAGAAAACGCACTTAATTCTTTCTTCATTGTTTAACGATGTCACGAGTACGCAGTAACTTAAAATTTTAATTGTAATCGACATTATCACTAAAGAAGAAGAACAACAACAATAATCATAAGAATAATATTAATAATAATAAGAAGAAAATTGCTGAAGAACGTATCGTGTTTTTTGTAAATTTAAAATAATCTTATGAGACAAGAAAAAGAGAGAAAGAGAAAGTAAAAACATTAGTTCTTTTTTCTCTTTTCTTTCGTACTCTGTTTTTCAGTTTCTCTCTCTCTCTTCTCTTCTTGTCTCTCTCTCTGTCTGTCTATCTCTTTCTTTCTGGTGTGCGCGCGCGCTTTTTTTCTTTCTCACTCTTTTACAAAGTACTTATAATTGACAAGTAGTGGAGCAAAAGCAACGCGCAGTGTAGCATTACGTCGTCGTTTGCTTTCCGTAACCTCAAATTTTAATGAATCAAGTAAAGACGTAAATGACATTTTCCTCGTAGTGACAGCCTGCACTTCCATCGCATAAACTTTTTATTCATTCTGTCAAACGATCTTACGTGCTTATGTGCTTACGTGCTTATACTAACGAACATACATTGCACACACCCAGACACAGATACATATAACATACATTTGCGTTAGAATATTTTTCAAGTGGCCAAATAATATCTATCGTGTGGTATTACTGTGTCATTTATTTTTCCGGATGAAAGATACCAGAGATAATCTATTAGTACGTATTTTTCAATAATTATGATTACATTTTAATTTTTATTCATTTAACTCACTCCCTCTCCCTCTCCCCTTTTTCCTTCTCTCTTTCTCTTATGCGATCTTCTCTTATCTCTTAGATTCTATATATACATATGTTTTAAGCAAATAGAACATCTTCGTGTATTTGATTTTATTACGATTTTTGATTTATGTATTTAAAAATTTATTTAACAGTCGTGCAGATACGGCCCTGGCCTTTGTAAGATTTAAATGGAGATACTATTCATTTTTTTATATTTTTTTTCTTCCACATTTTCTTTTTTATTTTGTTTTGTTTTTTTCCTCTTATACATGAGACATTTATCAATGAACGCATTGAATAGTTATCGAGTAAGAAAAAAGAAAAATAAGATTCTTTGTTTAAATCCCCGGGAGTCGCCTTTATCTGTCATCAGCTAGAAGAAATTTGAACGAAATCGAGTATAATAATTTTTATGATTCGATAATTTTGTGACTATTAAACGAAATATTTTCTGTCATAGAATGATTTACGATTAATAGTGATGTCATGTAATAATAGATGTGTCAGAATGTTTTGAAGGTTATGTACATTACTGATAGATTTTAAACGTATTACGAGTAGATATACGATTCGTTAAGACGCTTCCTTTTATATTTAAATATTGGTACCAAATATTTTATTTGTTCAGTCGAATTTGAATCATTGCAAAGCGATTAAATATTAAAAACCAAAATTTCTGATCTTTTTTTTGAGATTAATGATAAAATAATCAACATAAGTTTGTATCAACATTTATTGTTAAAATTAATTTTATTCTTTTTCATATATATATATCTATTTATGTAGACCTCTAATCATTTTCATGTCCTGTTTGTACTTATTACATGTATGTATTTGTTTTTATAGATAAATAACATTAGACTTTTTCAATGGATACAATTCTGCAAATGGTTGCAGAATAAATGTGAATCTGATATAATGAATCAACTAGGGGAATATCGATCAGTTTATTAAATTTTAATATATGTAAACTTGAATGCTATTCTAACAATCATAAAAATGCAACAGTGCTGTGTAAGCCACCAAGTTCAATTATGGCTTCTATTATTACTTTTTTGCATCGCATATTGTGGTGCCGATATTTTAGTGTTCCCAGCAGCTACCAGATATCAGGTAGAGGATGAATTTCGAGATATGCCAGCTAGATTTGGTGGTTTTATACCATCCGAAGGGATTAAGGTTTATATATATATTTTTTCATATTTTTAGTACATTAACTATATATAAAACAAATTTTATATATTATTAATTTAGGAATTATTGTTATTACTCACCTAGGGTATGGTTGCTTATGCCGACCCTCCTACTGCTTGCCATGAGATAAAAAGCCCTCCAAATGATACGAACTATGGAGGGAATTGGATAGCTCTAATCGCTCGCTATGAGTGTAAGTTTGAAATTAAAGTAAGAATGGCACAAAAGGCTGGTTATGATGCTGCCATTATACATAATGTAAACAGCAATGAATTAGGTAAGTAAGTAAATCATATTCCTATTTCATTTGTTGTGTATCATATAGACAGCATTTTTTTTTGAGTTTTATATAAAAAATGTGTTCTATATAAGTCTATTATATTATGTTACAGAGCCGATGTCAGCTGAAGATCCAATAGGGATACAAATACCATCTGTTTTTGTTAGTGAACTTACAGGATTAATTATCAAAGAAAATTATTTATATGATCAATTATATTATGTATTAATCAATGATGATCTACCATTTAATATTAATACACATTTGCTTTTACCATTTGCAATTGTTGTAGGAATCTGTTTCTTAGTTATGGTTATTTTTATGGTGAGTTCAACAAGTTTTTATTAACATATACAGCATACAATTGTATCTCAAATACTTACACCTGTTATGTTTTTAGATTGTCAGATGTATTAAAGATAGAAGAAGACAACGCAGACATAGATTACCAAATTCAAGTTTAAAAAAAATTCCAACTCATAAATATACGAAAGGTGATCCTTATGAAACATGTGCTATTTGTCTAGATGATTATATGGAAGGAGAAAAATTAAGAGTGCTGCCTTGTGCTCATGGTAAAGTACTTTTGGTAAAATAATTTAATATTATCTGTCAGTCCAGAACCAGACTGTAGAAGAACTCATAAATCGTAAGCAGACATTAAACCTGATGTTGTAATAAAAGGTCTCTTTAACAGTGGATGTCCTCGGGTCATGGGACCTGTTAGGGGGAAATTTTTTCAATAAAGAGTTTCTTAATGCCTAATAATAAAAATATTATATAAATATTTAAGCACAATGGTAATAATTTTGTATATATTTTAGCTTATCATGCCAAATGCATTGATCCCTGGTTGACAAAAAATCGTAGAGTATGTCCAGTTTGTAAACGGAAGGTTTTTGCAGCAGACGAACAAGTTGTTACAGATGAAAGTGATTCAGATGCCGATGACTCAACGCCTTTGATACGAGATGGGTATCAAGGTAAACAGTTTATCATTTATAACGTTTATTATATAAATTTGTCATAAATAATTAATAATAATAATAATAATAATAATAATAATAATAATAATAATAATAATTGTTGTTTAGGCACTCAAGGAGGTACGTTCATACGTCAGAGAGAAAATCCTTTTAATAGATCTAGAAGAACGCAAAATAGGGACGATTTGAATAATTCTAATAGTAGCTCGGATTCTGAGACATCTTCAGGAACATCTGACGATGGTGCTAGTATAAGTACTGGTGAACCTTCTGGTGGAACAGTTTTCATGGTATCTGACTCACATAGCATTAATGGTAATGTATATGTAATAAATAATTGTTTTTTTATTTTAATTGTGAACAAAAATTACCTATGGAAGTATTTTTAATATAGGCGAGCCGCAAGATTTAGAGCGATCAGTAAGCAGTACTAAACCACATACGGTTAACTTGTATACAGAGACGCAAGAATTTCTTGTTCCTGTTGTACAAATCACACCAGTCCAAAATACAAGGGTTTTAGAGATTTCTACCACTTTAAATCCTGATCATGTTACTATAGCTGCAGATGCTAGAAGTACAAGTACAACTTCTATAGATTCTGAAAGGAATGACGTTGCAGCATAATAATAATTAAATTGGAAATCTAGATTTACCATCTTTTGATCATATTAAAACTCTCTGATACGAGATATTAAAAAGTTTGCTACAGAATATGGAAAATAATAATTTGCTAAAAGTATTTTATTAAATATTACTTTATTTCAAAGAATTATAACATCAAATATATTTTTGTGCAAATTTTTTCTGTATTCTGTTATAAGAGGCGATGCGTAAATTGCTTCTAATAATATATTTTTGCTTACGTCGATATATACCTAACTTGTCATAAATTATAATTCATTATATATAAAATCAAACTTTATAGGAATTTTTAATATTGTTGTAAAAAATGTTGTAAGTGACATTTAGTTTAATTTGAAAGGAATATTGATTTCATCGAGTACCAGTAATGAATTAATTGTAATCAGTTAATTACTAATATCGGATATACATGTGTAATGATACTGAAAATACGATATAAGCTGTATATGATATATCCTGTTAATGTTATGGTTTTGCACTGATTAGGAAATATGGGAACACCGTTTTGTATAGTATCTATTACTCTGTTATTATTTAGATCTATTTAAACATGCACGTGTGCAAAAATAATTTTAATGAAACGTTCCATTTTACTTTACTTTCTGAACAGAAGAACAAAGAACATCATTTTTCTTGCTATAAAGAATAAGCATTATATGGTTTTAAGGGATCTTTGAATACGCGTATTCATTACATATATTACATTATTGTGAAAATGGACAAAAAAGATAAAAAATGAAAAAAAAAATGAAAAGAAAGCAAAAGAAAAAGAATAAATTAACGTACACTTTAGAATAGTATATTTAGTATTTCTAAAAAGTGGAATAATTTTTATAGAAGTTATCATATAAAAAAAAAAAAAAAATTTCATTAAAACCATCTAAAGTGGGCAAAACGTGTTTCTTGACATTTTTTTGATAATCAACTTAAATACACATATATGTATATACATACAAATGAAAGAACTAAAGATTAAAGTACATCTTTCTTTGGATTGATTTTGAATTGATAATGTAAAAAAAATATAATTAAACGATTTTTTTTATCGTATTATTTATAATAAAAATATAATTAAACAATTTTTTAATCGTATTATTTATAATGAAAATATATTAGAGAATAGTATTACATACCGTGTAATATTATATGAATGGTATAGGTGTACTTATATCTTTTACATGAAATTTTAATATTTATGAAAAATTCTCATTCTTTATATAATTAATATATTAGGTCGTCCAATAAGTCCATGCAATTTTTATCTTTTATTTGTTTAGAAAAAAACCACATGAACTTATTGGACAACCTGATACAAGCGCATATATTGTGCTCAGATTTGTAGAACAATTTATTGAATAATAATTAAACGGAAAAAAGTTCTTTTTGATTTGCCATACTTTCAAGATGGATGTATCTATTGTACTAGTCCGATAACGATTTGAAATTATACCCGTCCCCCACCCCCCAAAAAAGAAGTCACATGTTTTTTGTATAATTTTATTCAGGAATAAATATTATACAATATTACCGTCCCCTCAGGAATATCACAGTCTGAATAATTTAGACTGAATAGTAATTGGGTTTCTTTTAAATGTGTATTATTTTTTTATATGATTACCAAAAAAAAAAAAAGAAAAAAACTACCAGAACGTCTTCAATGTACAACTAGATATATGTATAAATATATATATACAATCATTTATCTAACATTGTTCGACGATCACTGGTGATATTGTAAAATAACGAATGCTGCTGACGATAAAATCTATATTTAACAAGTCTGTAAATATTATCTATATAAATGTAAAAAAATTTCAAGACCAAAAAATATAATGATTCCTTTTTTCATGCAGGACGTATAATATAGTTAATCGTATCTATGAACTTTTGAAAATAAACATAAATATGCAAATATATAGTACATAAGTTCTATAATATCAATTGTTATAAATATTATAAAATATAATAATTATAATAATCGCGAAAGATGTTTTATAACAGAGGTGATTGATGATATTCAAGAATAAACAGAAAAAATACGGACTGTGCGCATCGTAGTATATTAATCGTTCTAATTGAAATAAGTTTCTCTCAAATGGTTTTTTAATGAATTATTAACTATTATTAAATAACACTTCTAAAACATTAAAATATATATACATATAAATATATTATTAATGATGGTATTGCATTTTCAAATGTACATAATCGGAGATTTTGTAAACATAATTTGTTTACTAATATATTTCATTTCTTTTTAAAAATTATGTACTTTCTATTATAGTAATTAGATTAATTTTCAAATAAGAAAGTGATTATTGTTATTATATATTTTATAATACGTTATATAGGAATAGAAAGAAAAATAAAAAAGAAATTTTCATAAATTGGCAGCCGATTGTATATTAGTTGTTAATTGAGTTTATTCAAAACATTAAAACGAATTTTTTAATGCAAATGGGAGAATGAAATGAGAGAAGAGAGAAAGAAAGAGAAAGAGGATGAAGATTGTAAAAAGCCATGTAAATAATTATGCAGGAGATTTTATTACATGCTATTATCAAATTGAAAAAAAAAGATTTAATTTTTATGTGTAATTGCTATCTTTAAAATTAAAGTTACTTTTAAAATATTACAATTTAATATCTCGCTAATGATTCATAGTATATTTAATATCAACTGTGAATCTTTGAATGATTTAAAGAAAAAAATCTTTCAAAATAAAAATACTTCTAACGTTTTTCTAACTTCTTTTTTGTTATACACATGCATATAAATATATATAACAATAATTAGTAATTTATATTAACGAATTTCAACTATTTTTGAGATATTAATTTACAAAATATACAGCTGCATATATATATATATATATATATATATATATATATATATATACATGTATACAAAAAAAATACGTATATAAATATATATATACGCACTAATCACGCGCATCTGCAATTTTATTTGTTTAACATTAGATTTTTTAATTAATTATAAATGACATGCATATGTAAGCAGCATTGATATAATCGAGCTAAGTTGTATAAAAAATTGGAAAAAGAAAAAAAGAAATTATAATTCGCATAAAGGAATTATAGATTTGATACTAACACAGAAGAATTTCATATATTGAAACTAAATTTATCCTTCGTTTCAATATATTCGGACGATCGAAGTAGCACGTCTTGTTGAAGTAGATAAACGTAAAAGAAGGTACAATAGAAAAGAAAGAGAAAAAAAAAGAGAAAGAGAGAGAGAGGGGGAGAAAAAAGAATTAAAGTAAAGAGGGAAAAGGAGTGGGGTAGATGAAGGAAGAGGGGGAGAGATTAGGCGAGTGGCCGCACGTGACGGCACAATGCCGCTCGAAGTTCGAATAAAAAGCAGGCAAAAGAAGGGAAAAATGAGGAAATCCGGAAGTCCACCAAGAAGATGACTTGAAGTACTCCAGCGTGTCCCGCAACTGGAGCCAAGCTCTCCAACCTTCCGCTATCGCAGCAACCTCAATTCGTTCCTACCTCTATTCCTGGTAAACGAGCAAGAAAAATTGGGGTCATTCGAGGACGTCGTGTCAACCCTGATGTCGTCAACTGGAGCCCTCTTCCTGTTGTCAGATTTAAATCTTTACCGTTGTTAAGCCAGGCACAAGCAAATATTGTCCTAATCTATCTATGTATATATACATACATAGTATACATATACTATATATATAGAAACACGATTATGTCTTATGGTATTACATCGACTGGAAGTAAATCACGTATCGTCCATTTTTCCTACAGACATGCACCATTTTTCATACTTTTTCGGCTATGACTTTTTTACTTTAATATCACGACATATGTATATATGTGTGTAGGTCCAACCGATTTGATATATGATTTATTTGCGATGAAAATTGTGAATTAGAAGAAAAATAGCCGAAATAAGCTAGTTGATGATATTCCGTGGTATATTCGGCAAAGGAAGAAGGAAATGTGGAAAGCATATATATTAATCGATTTAATGAAATGAAGAGGAAAGTAATGAATACGTTTGAAATAATTAATGAATTTTTCTATATCGATGGCAGGTAAATAGACCGCGTGACTCGTTGATACTGCTATAGCTGGTGACGAATTATCGATTCACGAAAATTTCCTTTCATTATGGTCATGCGCAACGCTTGACTGTAATGGAAAATGAATACATGTTTGAAACGTAATGCTCTCCTTGCCGTGCATGATGACCCTGTGCTTTGTACTTATATTTGCGCAGTGTGTATCAGCGCGTATAAATTGGAACAAAACATAAGCGTTAGATGGTGCTGCGTTCCACCTTTTACATTTTCTTTGATTTCAATTTTTTAATGTAATACAAACAAAAAAGAGAAGAAAAAAGAAACTACATTGCAAAATTGAAAAATATATCGCATGAAAATGTCAACGACGAAAATGTTTTACGAAACATTTTTAATCACCACATAAACAAACAATGAAAGAATTTCTTTTTTGTAATCCAAATAAACGTCTATCAACGAGTAGATACGGCCCTGTGGCGCGTGATCGAAACGAGTCTTCAATCGCTCTTCGGATGACTTTTTTGAATAGATATGCTATAGCTTCTAATGGCATACAATATATCAATAATTGAAGGACTTTTGATCGGAATAACAAGATTTACATAAATATATTATTCCTCTAATAGATTCAAAACGTGATACAATAACGAAGAAAATATCAACTCTATTGTAAGATGGCGAAAAAGGACAAATACAAGCAGATGAAATTATATACATTGTGCTGGAATGTATTTAGATACAATTCATATTTTTGATATCAAATCAGCGCGTTCATTTATTGTATTTTATTTTTGTATGTTTTAATGTACCTACATATTCTATTGTAGTATCATTAAAAAATATGTTATAAGCATATTTGCCACGTATGTGTATATTTATATAGGTACATAAAATCATGAAGTAGTTATGTAGAAGCGCAAAGTCAGTTGCGGCATAAAAATCTCGACAAATTCGTTTGCTCATTCTCGGCCTTTCGACCTCGTTCATCGATCGTATAGGTAGTAACAGCTGAGATGTGTGCTGTCGAGGAAACTACTATTATGACGATGTATTCGACTCGTTCGAAAAGCGCCCAATATGGGAAGGAGCAGGAAGGAATCCATAAGAGCTATGCTTCGAATCGAGGATCTCACTCGGCCGGTTTTTCTCGGCTTTCTAGTTGTTCGAGGAGAGCAGAGGTGGGTTGATGATGTAGACGGAAAGAGAAAAAGAGAGAGATAGCAAGAGAGGGTTGGAAAGAGGCTCCCGCAAGGATCGCAGAGGGGATCGTTGAAGGGTTTTGGAAGGGTGGGGTTGAAAAGTGCTGAGGGACGGCGCGCAATGCCGAAGGAGATGCCCGGGGAGGAGAAAGAACAAGATGGTGGCTGTACTACGATGGTGGCGCTACCCAAGTGGAGGAACGCACGCGTAGAAGGCTTGTTCGCTTAGATAAAACTGTTGTGTGCATGTCGACATTGCTTATAATTTGGTTGCTTCGTAGCGACGGGAGCACGTCTTTCGTCTTGAGACGAAAAGAGAGGAGAAGACGGTGAAGGAGGTGGAGGAGGAGAATACGATCGAGTCCATCGTTTTCGAGCGAGAGCGCGGGCGCACAATTCCTGCTGGCCGGCATGTTCTTGCCGAACGAGGGAAAGAATCCGCCCTACGAATCGTCTGTCGCGCGCGCGCACTTACGG